ATATGTATATATATATAGAGTCGGTGAAACTCCGACGAAACAGTTTGTCATAGCCCCTCGTTTGTTGTCCTCTTCTCTCTCTCTGCCTACGGTTTTACCGGGCAGTTCTATTTGTGATGATATATATATATATATATCCCCCTCTTCCATGCCGGTTTGTGTCCGGCCCCCTATTTTTTTTTTTTTTTTCGTGTTTCGTTTAAAAAAAAAAAAAAAAAAAAAAAAATGTCGGTTTTTTTGTATCTTTTATCTCTTTTTCTTTTTTTTATTATTATACAGTTATACTTTTATTTTTCATTCTCACGTGTCGTTTTGTTTCCTTTTTTTGCCTTTTGTTTTCTTTTTGTTTCCGGGAAAAAAAACACTTTCCGTTTTTTTTTTTTCTCGTCAATTAGTGTTTTTTTTTAGTCCGTCCGAAAAAAAAAAAAGTACAAAAGAAAAAACAAAAGACAAAAAAAAACTAGGTTACCTGATCGGACGTCCGGGACCCCCCTGACCGTAAGGGATTGTCCGCTTGGACAACCGGTCAGACATCCTCCCCTTGCAGACTGTCCGAGCCCGAACGAAAAAAAAAAAAAAAAAAAAAAAATCCCCCAAAAACTCTGAAAAAAAAAACTATGTTATGCAGAAACATAAACTGATGATATCAAAATTCGTTGTTAATTTTGAAATAAAAAATAAAATTAAAGGCACCCCCAATTTTTTTTTATTTTTTTCGTGCATTTAATTGCTAAAAATAGAGTTGTCCGGGACCCCCCTGACTGTCCGCCCAAGACGTCCTGCCATCGGACAACTGGTAACATAGAAAAAAACACATTTTTTTTGCATCTTTTTTGGATCGGAACGAACATTCCGCTAGAACATGGCTAGATGCAGGCACACCTGTGTTTGGCGCTCAGTCCACGGTGTGGGCGGTCCGTGGGCATCGCCACACCACTGTCGAAAAAATGTGGCGGGCGCATCTGGGCATGTTCTAGCGGGAAGTTAATTCCCATTTTATACATTTCAAAGTGGTGTGGCGATGCCCTCTTTCTGTCTGTCTGTCTGTCTCTCTCTCTCTCTCTCTCTTTCTTTCTCTCTCTCTCTCTCTCTCTCTCTCTCTCTCTCACGCGCGCTTACACACACGCACACACACACAGACGCACACACACAAACACACACACGACGAAGTGTGGCCATGTGTGTGTGTGTGTGCGCTCGTGCGTGTGTGTTAGAGAGAGAGAGTGCGACCAAGACTCGCCATCGCCAGTGGCACGAGCCGAGAGAAGGGTGCGACGTGTAGATATGGCGCGCCTGTCTCAAAACAGAAGAGAAATGGGAAATTCAAAAACAAAAAAACAGACTGGCAAGTGGTCAAGACGAGAGTCTCGATATGGTCTGTGCTGGTCTTCCCGCCTCTTCACCTCCTGGGTGCGTTGAATCCTTGCTTCCTCCTCTTTGTCCTCTCTCTCTCTCTCTCTCTCTCGACCAAGACTCTACCATCGCCAGTGGCACGAGCCGAGACAAGGGTGCGACGTGTAGATATGGCGCGTCTGTCTCAAAATAGAAGAGAAATGCGAAATTCAAAAAAAAAAAAAAAGACTTGTAGGTGGTCAAGACGAGAGTCTCAATATGGCATGTGTTGGGCTTCCCGCCTCTTCACCTCCTTGGTGCGTTCTGTCCTTGCTTCCTCCTCTTTGTCCTCTCTCTCTCTCTCTCTCTCTCTCTCTCTCTCTCTCTCTCTCTCTCTCTCTCTCTCTCTCTCTCTCTCTCTCTCTCT